CAAATTCAATGGGCTTTTTCCGCTGGATTTGGAAGATTGCAGAAATTAAGCACTTTGTCAAATGCACAATTATGATTCTTGTTCAGCAGGATAATCTCCACATCTTTACAGCACTCAGGTTATTCATTAACTACACCATTGTAGCATGGCTACGTGTCACCACCGCTAAGCTAAAGGCGGCTAATGTTTGCCATGATGACGTTAAGTAGCCTCATTTAGACCCTTGGTAGCATCCGCTGTTTTTATGACACAAGCTTCAGACATTCATAATGTTTTTATGTCGTAGAACAAAACGTGAAAATCTATTTAGCTAATCCATTTACTCGTTCTTACACCACTCCATTAGTATGGTGCCAAACTCAAACTGAGTTGGGATAATATTGTTCTCCATCTTTGGAGAAAACTGATCCTGTGTCTGTTAGTGGAAGATAATTGAAGGTTTTGGCAAAGGATTGAGACATCAAGGTGTGTATTATTAATCACAACTAATTGCAGGTAACCTCAACCATGTGTAGATGCAATTTTTACAACTGGACTTCACAATGAACAGTTCCTGATTAATACTAGATAATCTACTATATAGTGTACTTATATATATATAAAACGAACCAGATAGCAACTGAGTTTCAGTACAAATAACCCCCAACAAACACCGGGGCTGACTGGAAACAAGGGAGAGCGAGAGAAAGAAACAGAGAAAACAGGAAGAGCTATCCTCAGCAGACCTTGAGATATTTATCAATAAATTATCTCTTCTTTTTTTTACTTCCGCTCCAGTGTTGTCTCGTACACTTTATTTCTCTTTCTTTCTCTCCCCTTGGTTTCAGTACACTTTTGGTTTTCACTGTGTGTGTATGTGTTGAATTATTAAGCCTCCCCATCTTACTAATTCATAAGCCACCAAGGAATAGAGTTAAAGTTTAAAGTGTTGCTGTGTACCTGGGGGGTGGAGGGAGGGAGGGAGGATGGGGAGCACACAAGACAAACTCAACAACTGAGGGAGGGAAAGAGAGGGATGCAGTGACAGAAAGTGCGTATAGGGATAGAGAGTCAAGAGATGGAAGGTGTGCAGATTTGGTTTCTGGCTAAATACACCGAACTTTAAACACCACAGGCCTATTTTGGTCATCCAGCATTTTGTTTGGGTCCTCAGGTGGATTTCAGTGGCACAAAGTCCTTCATATTTGGCATGTTTGGAGGTAATATTGCATGAACCTTTGCACACGCAGAGCTTTGACTTTAGAAGCAGCACCCTGCTGTTCTATTCCTTCCACAGTTAGAAATGTTGAAAACAATGAATGTGCTTATAATGTGATCGTACCCAAAACCCCTTACTCTATGTATCATGGTGCAGGTTACCCAGAGAGAGCCATTCACTGAGCCACAACATGTACTGGAGCAGATTCCTGTGGAGATCTAAGTGCAAACCTGGTTCCCAGTTGCCAAATGTAACCCCATCTGGCATTTTTATCAGAATAAGTGACAGGACGGGACCAGCTTGGTGCCAATGGAATTTGTAGTGGTGAAAGTCTGCTTTATTAGGAACATACAATACTGCAGTGCATGGCTAAAAACACTTTTGCCTATTGATATTCATATGTGATTCGAACAGATGACATACTACAGTGCCATCTAAACAAGATTCATTTAGTTTGATAACTGGCTAGAGTACTTTATATTTCATTGGTCATTTAAAGTGCTGTAAAAAGGATGTCCTGAAATGCTTGATGACATTTCTCTCGATTTTCTCTTTCTGTCGCAGGATTATGAAAAACGAAAGGCCCCATTTTCATGATTGTCAATGGAAAAGCCAAAGGAAGAACCTGTTATAGTTGCTAAGAGATCCTGAACACTGTGTGGATAGATGCAATATGCTTCACTCTTTCACTAACATTGCGGTACAGGGTAAATTCCTTCAGTGAATAAAAAAAAAATCTGTTCCAGACTTAGAAAGTGAATCTAATTGTCCTCTTTAGCTGTAAAAGCACAGAAACATATTGTTTACCACTCTGAGAAACAAAATAAAAAACATCTTTGTGGTTTCAACTGTGTTCTACGGGAATGTCAAGATCCAAGGATCGCACAAATGCACCATTACCTTCAGTGGAGGTCTTCACTCTCCAAGAACAAATTCAATCTTGTTAAAGTTAATGATTCCTCATAGCATACTAAAACATTTGTGTATATGATTATGCAGGCTGATGGTGTGCCCCTGCTGTGTCGATGCATGTATAACTTGTTAATTCCCTTTTTTATGGTAGCATGTTATGCTTTTCGGACATCCGCATGTTTTCAGTGCTTCTGTCCTTGAAGGTGAATGGGGTTTTGTGTGTGTGTGTGTGTGTGTGTGTTTGTGTTTGTCTCTCACCTGTGAAGCAGACGGGGCACTTGAAGGTACCTCCCATGCCTTCGAAGCTGTGCTCTATCAGGTGGCAGAGCAGCTTGGCAGGTGAATCAAACATCTGGTTACACAGCTTGCATTCGTGATTGATGCCCTCCTCTGTAAAAAGGAAGACAGAAACGCATGTGTATGCTGGGTTAAGCAACATGAATACCAGAACGTATGACATCAGTTTAATAATATCAATACAACTCTCACGACAGATGTCTGCACGTACACAAACTGTCAGACACCGACAGACTGTGGCGTATTGAATACTGACAAAAAAACTAAAATAAGTGGTTGGATCCCGCCTCCTGCAGTCAAAAGGTCAAATAGTCCTTGGGTAAGATACTTAACCCCCAATTTGCTCACATAGGCATGTCTGCGGTATTTGATGATTATGTGAAAACTACAACTAAATAAACACGACATAAGCAATTCCACATGTTACAGAAATGAAATGACAAGTACAAAAATAGGATTTTCAGCTCCAGATCAGTTAAGTTGTCAAGTCCGACACTTCCCCTATCACCCCCTGCTGCATACTCTTCTTTTATTTCTCCCTCTCCTTTATACACTGCCCCCAACTCTCCCAGTGCCATATCTGCCCCAGCTGGTAATTGCCTGTCCTCCCCACCGGGGCTGTGGATGATCTACCCTTCCTAGACCCTCCTCCCTTCCCTCCCTCTGTCCTCGTTATCTGCCTCCCCCCACTGCAGTCACTCATCCATCCCTCACTTCGCCCATTCCGCCCCTCCAAGTCCCCTTACCCCCCTCTTGGTCCATCAATTGCTGATTCATCAAATTCAAACCCCTCACAAACACTTACGTCTTTTTTCAGTGTTCGGATGTCTCTTTACAAATAAGACAACACCTTCTATGAACATTGAATGTAGACAAAACTAATACAGTGAATTATTTAGATGTAATTGATATGACATCACAGTAATGGAGCACTTTCCTTCACTGATCAGTTTGTATGGACTGCTGAGATGGTGTATGCTAAATTAAATTCAGTTTAAAGATTATATTCAAATATGATACGGAAAAATACATGAGGTGTAAGGGAGGGTAAAGATGGTGAATCAATTATAGATAATTCTTGATTCTATAGATAATGTTGTATCCCTTTTTTCTTCTGTACTGTATTGCTCTTATTTCTCTTATAAAATCAGATTTTTTAGATACTTCACCCATTGAAGTATATGCAATTTGCCAAATAATTGAAATTAGAAGTAATTGTATGCCGTGATCGTAAGAAAATTGGACACACAAGATTCATTTAATGTAGAGTACTAATTTTGATTGACTTCAACAATATCCTGCAATCATAATATTCTTTAAAAATAGGCATTCATTCGTTATAAATTCACTTTTTTTTTCTCACTTGGGATTAAACCAATATTTATGTGTATCTGTGTCTATTTTAAGAAGGTGTGTGACATCACAGCACCCATGTGGAAGGCCAGATGAAAGGTGGGTGTTATACACACACACACAAACAACACACACACAAGGATCAAGTTTCCTGCCCACTGTTCTTATCACCCTTGTACCATACAGGACCAATGCGCGCGCGTGCACGCACACACGCGCAGCACACACACACACACACACACACACACACACACACACACACACACACACACACACCCACACACACACACACACACACACACACACACACACACACCACACACACACACACACAACACACACTCACACACACACACACCACCACACACACACACACACAACACACACACACACACACACACACACACACACACCACAGGACCGTAGATCCCAGGGACATCAGATGGTGTCTTCTGCGGGACAATCTGTGACCCCTTGTGGAGTTGCACACACAACACACTTTCTGACTCACAGAGACACACGGACAAATCATGGAGCACACAATCTCACTTCTCTCATGTCCTGTAAGTGTGTGTATTAACACACACACACACACACATTCAGTCTGCGGAACTTCAGCTGCAGCGATGCAGGAGATCGCAGGGTTAATAATGTCTTCAATCATACATCCATGACACCCATACTGACTAATACACACACACACACAAAGATTCAAATCTCTCTTTGCCTCAAAGGCTGACACAAGGGTGCCCTAATCCCGCCTCAATAGCTATGGGGGATTGTGTGTGTGTGTGGGGGATTGTGTGTGTGTGTGGGGGATTGTGTGTGTGTGTGTGTGTGTGTGTGTGGGGTGCGACATGGGCTTGTATGGATGAGATGCTCCTCGTTCCTGATCCCCAAACATCCCCAAGCATCCCTCCACACACACACACACACACACACACACACACACACACACACCACACACACACACACACACACACACACCACACACACACACACACACACACACACACACACACACACACACACACACACACACACACACACACACACACACACACACACACACACACACACACACACACACACACACACACACACACACACACACACACACACACACACACACCTCAAAGAGTGCTAGGTTGTGTGGGGCGCCAGTGTGTCCGAGGCATACTGAGACAGATAGAGGTTCATTATCATTTACTAGGAGATTGAAACAGCAGGAGAGAGTCACATGGAGAGAGACACACAGAGAGGACGAGGGAAGGCGAGAGAAAGAGAGCGGGAGGAGGGTACAGCGCTACCAGTTTAATCAATTGTCTCATATTTTAATTATCACAAAATGATTCTAAGTATTAGGGAAGGCGCACTTTTATTTCATAATTCTTCAGAAGAGAACATTAGTGTTTCAACTGAAGGTGCAAAAGATGCTAATACACACAGAGTACAAAGTTAGTGATGCCTACGCTTCAGTGTGTTTGCGTGGAGAAGGCACCCTAAAAGCCCTCAGTTGGGGTGGCACTCTGCTCAGAAGTTGCCTCTCGCACTGTCCCACGCCACCAGGTTCAGAGAATGTGGTGAAACATCAGCCATGATTTCTCACAGGGACATCAACACTGGTCAGATAAATACCGTATGTGACAGAGTTCTCTGGTTGCACTCAAGAAAAAACAATTCCCTATTTGCTCACCTACATAATTTAAGGGGCCTTATTATGCTCTATTGGGTTTCCCCTTTCCTGTAGTGTGTGATACAGATTGTTGTGCATGTAAATGATCTGCAAAGGCTAAAATCCCAAAATTCCCCTCCAGAGGGTGTTTATCTCGCACACACCCCCCCCTGCTTGAAATGCCTCCATTGGACTCCTTTGTTTACTTCTGTAACATAGTGACATCACTATGTTACAAACATAAAATAGTTGCTGCAGCACAGGCAGTATGAGAAAAGAAATGCCTTTTGAACAAGAAAGCATGGAGACATGTCACAGTAGAGACACTACATACAATTATGAAACCTGGAAATGAGCAAAATAGGGCCGCTTTAATAGAACATTTTGTTATGATTGGCTTGAACACAATTCCAGCAAAGTTCATTATTACACTAACCTATCCAGGTTTTTAATTCAGGGGAATGGACTGATCTACCAATCAGAGGGCGAGTGCTTCGATCAAACCATGTGTCACTGTACGAAATACAACATTTATTCCAGAGACATTTCTACTCTGTATGCAAGTCATATTGAATAGAAGCGTAAATAACATTTAACGTACTGCTTTGCTCATACATGTCTCATACCGTCAATAATAAAACCATTTTAAGGGGAATTAAAAATAATACACAGCTACAACTATGATTACATTCCTTATTGGGCTTGATAAACATCGAGCCTTGAAAAATAAAGAAGAAAAGGATGACAATTTCCTATAGCACAATGTGACAGTTTGAAGAGAACTTAAAAAACTAGGAATTCCTGACATTCGACAAGTTATAATCAGACAGTGTTTCTCTAAGAATGAAAATTATTTGGCTGTTGATCATTGAATCAATTTCAGCAGCAAAAAAACAACAAAAGTGCTCCTGCTGAGCATTGCTTCAAATATTATTCTTCCCTGGTGAATTCAAAGAAGTCAACAGCCTAAACAATCGACACAACAGAAGCCAATTAATGGTCAATAAATGTATGGGCAAGTGGTAAAAAACAAAAGGGCTACAGATGAAAAAAGACAAACCTACTGTTAAGAGGAGAGAGAGAAGAGAAGAGAGAGAGAGGAGACTGAGAGACAGAGAGAGGAGAGAAGAGAGAGAGAGAGAGAGAGAGAGAGAGGATTGAAGGAAAACAGTGAGGTGCAGAGAGATAATGGGCTGTCCAGAACAAGGGCATGGGGAGAGGCCTCCAACGTCTGTGTGTGTGTGTGTGTGTGTGTGTGTGTGTGTGTGTGTGTGTGTGTGTGTGTGTGTGTGTGTGTGTGTGCGTCATGAAAGAGTTCTCTTTTCTGACAAATACATTGTTTTGATCAGTGTGTGTGTGGGGACCGCAGTCTCTGTATGCTGTCCCCCTCTGAGACCCCATACAGTGGTGTGTGTGTCATAGTGAGATGACAGAGTCGTAAGAGCATCCTGCCGTTACGCTTTGTCTCACAGAGTGCATTTGATCCACCACACACCACACACACACACACACACACACACACACAACAACACACACACACACACAACCACACACACACACACACACACACACACACCACACACACACACCACACACACACACACACACACACACACACACACACACACACACACAACCCTGGGAGGCCTGTGCTGGGACAGAGAACACAGGGGAGAGAGGGATGAGAGGAGAGGGAGAGGCAGGGTGAAGGTTAGGACTCAGAGTTTGTTAACACACTTTTAATGCACACCAATGCAGGTGGGGATTCATTTATATTTTTATGGGGGAATGCTTTCAATTGAATATGTTGAATAATTTGGATAAAGACAACTATTTCTAGACAATAAGCATATTAGGTTTACATGTCTGATTCAAAATCATGTTCCAGCTGTGCTGACGAATACCTTATTGCACAGCGGGCTATACTTGACTTGTTGCTATGCCAACCCTTGTGGTAACCAGGACACTTTTAGACTACATTTATACTTTTTTTCTTCGTTTTTCAACAAGGAGTATAACACCTGCACATGGCAGAATTACTTTGAAGTGCTCAGCATTGTCAGGG